AAACTCAGGACAAGGCAGAATAAATTTTATAATTCCGATTGAAAAATTTTACCAATTTTTTTGTATGGAGAGTGATGCACCCTAATATGTGTATGTATGCATACATATGCATATTCGGGGGAAGGCTCATCGAAAACGAAAAGCAGGCAGTTAGCATAAAAATCCCACTTTATTTATGTATTTACATACACATGTATTCTGTATTAACTAAAATAACTAACCGGCAAGAAAAAAGCATGTGACTTGCTAATTTGCATGTTGCAAGTGCGGATGGCGGCGAAAGAATATATAGAACAAGTTTTATTCAAGCAAAAAAATAAAAACCGACTTCAATTTTCACATTAAAAATTAAGAGTACTGTTAATTTCTTCATGATCCAATGATCAGATCTAAATTAGTATGGGACCTCCTCTGAGGTACCACCTTCCCTCTAAAAAATAACATACATAAAAAACAAAATTTCCGACGAATTGATAACCTCCTCCTTTTATGAAGTCGGTTAAAAATTAACTGAAAAGAACTAAAGAAGCCTAAGGTCGATCGAAACCTTTGAAAAATTACAACTAAATATTCGTTTAATTTTCACCACAAAAATGGGGAAGCTTTTAGAAAACACGTAGCACCATCGGATAGCTCGTACAAAAATCTATAGAAATCATAGTTTTCGAGTTTATTTTCCGATTTTCTGTCTGCTTTCCAGCTAGTCGAAAATTAGCTTGTTTTAACGTTAATCGCACCGGCTATAGTCCCAGCTGTCCAGGAATTCTCCACCGTTTGACAATGAACTCCCATGCCCTGCCCGGTGGTTGAAAAGTCATCAAATGAACTCTACCTATGCAATTCATCAGCCATTCGTTTGCCTGAAGCATCGCAGTGTCCTGAAAGCAAAAACGACTTGATTTGGAGGTAATCGGAGGCGATCGAAAGAGAAGTGCGGCATTCTTCGATCAGTTTTGATGGCACCATAAGTGCACCTAGAGCGCTGATTGCCGCCTGGCTATCAGAGTGCGTGAAAAGCTCTCCAGAAATATGGCTGTCTGTACGTGCGATTTACGGATAGTTTCTGACAGAACATTCCTCTTCAAGCTTTAACCTCCAGTTTAGATTTTTCCGCGAAGTTATTTATTGACCACTAATGGAGAGGTGGCCACTCTCTCAATACACCATATAGTGGCAGATCGGTTCAGAACCAGTTTCGGTTGGCGCCGTTTTGCTTCTTACGGTACGAGGTCGAAATTTGTAAAGATTTCAGAGTGCTTATAAGCCGGGTTGAAGGAAAAACCGGAGGAAAAGAAAGGGTGAGAGAACACAGCCCTGTGGAGTACCTCTACTCACTCTACGCTGGACAAAGGCGCTGCTCCACTCAACTACGATAGTTTTGTGGCGGAGCATGCGAGCTGTGCGAGAGTCTTTAGTGCAGCTATGTAGGAATAGTGCCATCCGGTCTCGTAGGCTGGAAACGATTAAAAGATTTAATCGCACAAAACAATCGTGGAAAAGGGCATACATTCTTTAATTAAATTTTTATTTATAATTTTAAAAACATACGGCTACCTGCAGCTGAATAAAAAAATTTAACAACACTAGCATGTTTGAACTTCAAGCCTGAGCGTTTGTAAATGTCAATCGTGATCGAAAATTAAAATAAATAAAAAATGGAGCAATTTTCGAGTGTAACATTAGGAGACAAGAATATATACAAGTTATATATACCTTGACATAACGCTTCCCAAAAAAATCCACAGAACAATGGCCCAACAGCAGCGAAAGCAACAAAAACCGTTGGATGAAAAGAAAGACGAAGCCAAAATACCGACTCACCTCAAATTCATATTCGCGGGACTTTCTTCGATGGGGGCTGCCGCCGTGGTGCACCCCATGGATTTGGCAAAGACACGCATGCAAATAGCCGCCAGCGACGGCAGCAAGCCACCCACCACACCACTGAAAGTACTGAAGACAGCCGTTAAAAATGATGGCTTCCGCGGCTTGTACAAAGGATTAAGTGCTTCCTTACTGCGTCAAGCGATCTACTCAACCACACGCATTGGCATTTATACAACCGCCTCCGAATATTACCGTAATGCTTACCAGATTCAGCCACCATTGGCCATGCACGTACTCATAGCCTTTGTTTCCGGTGCTATGGGCGCCTATGCAGGCACACCCGCCGACGTGGGCCTAGTACGCATGATGACCGATGCACGTTTGCCGCCAGCAGAACGTCGTAACTACACAAGTACTGTCAACGCGTTGACGCGCATCGTTAAGGAGGAAGGCGTGCTGACGCTTTGGCGTGGCGCTGTGCCGACAGTGGGTCGTGCCGTTGTAGTGAACGTGGCGCAATTGGCATCCTACTCGCAGTTCAGGGAATTGGCGCAGTCCAAGCTGCATGTGCGCCATGGACTCGGTCTGCATTTGATAGCAAGCATAGGTTCTGGTGTACTGACTGCGACTGCTTCACTGCCGGTGGACATAGGAAAGACGCGCATACAGAATATGAAAGTGATTGATGGGAAGCCGGAGTATAGTGGCCTCTTCGATGTGATTATTCAGATAAGCAAGAAGGAAGGTGTCCTATCGTTGTGGCGTGGCTACATACCGTACGTTTTGCGTGTGGCACCAGGAACTGTTGTTGTTTTCATACTTTTAGAACAACTAAATACGGCTTACTTTAAGTATGCCTTGGGTGAAGAATATAAATCGACAATATGAAGTGGGTTGATGCTGCTGTGGTGTTCTGGTTTATGTGTATGTGTGTGTTTGTATGTAAATAAGTCAATTATTTCGGGCTGCGTTTAGCTGGTAAATATATAAAAGATTCAATGGGAAAAAGATGTATGTACTTTTTACTACGGAAAGAATATAAGAAACGCATGCAGAATCTTGGGAATTCGTGGAGACAAAGGTACGGTTGCGTTGAAAGATCTATGCCGTTGGTGAAGGGAAATAAAAAGAAAGCGAGAGAGAGAGACAAAGGTAAAGATTAAACAGAGACAAAGGTAAAGATTAAACAAAGACAAAGATAGAGTAAAGATGACAAAAAAGATAAATGTAAAGATAATGATGTAGAAAGAATAAAAGGTGAAAAAAACAGATGAAGATGAAAGTTAAAGGTAGAGATGAAGGTAAATATGAAGGTAAAAATAAAGATGAAAATCAAGAAGAGAAAGATGAAGATAAATATAAAGGCAATTCTAAAAATGCATATAGAGATAAAGATAACGATAGATAAAAAGGCAAAGATGAAGATAAATGCAAAGATAAAGATAAAGGTAACGATACAGGTTAAGGTAGCGAAGAACACATAGATAAATATAAAGGTATATACAACAAGACGGAAGTAAAGTAAAATATGAAGACAAAGATAAAGGTTAAGGTAAGCTAATGCTAGAAGTAAAGATATATTTATTTACATAGATGAAGACAGATATATAGATAAAGGTAAAGTTTGAGATAAAAGTAAAGACAAAGATGAAGACAAAAATAAAAATAAAGGTAACGATAAAGATAAAGTTGAAGGTAAAGGTAAAGTTAAAGATTAAAGTAGTTCTTAAGGTAAACGAAAGATAACCATGAAGACTAATATAAAAATAAAGACGAACATAAGAAGATAAAGACGAACGTAAAAAGATAAAAATGAACACAAAGATACCGATAAAAGTAAAAGCAAAGGTACAGGTAAATGTAAAAATAAAGATTTAGATAAAGAAAACAGACATAAAGATAAACATAAAGATCGAGAATTATTATTTTAAAATTGCTGCAGTCTGAAAAGCAAATGAAGTAATAAGAACGAGAAAAAAGATTTTGACCAAGGCGAATTCAAACAAGGTAAGCACCGTAACAGTTACAACTTTTACGAAACAGTTATTTTTTGACTTTTATTTAATTGCTCCTTAAATAACAGTTATTTCCGATTTTTATTGTATAAATACAAAATAACAATTATTTTTTACTTCTATTTAAATAATCTGCAAAAAAAAAGTAATTTTTAATTCTGTAATAAAATGTCTTAGATAACAGATATTGAAGACTTGTATTTATAAAAGTCATGAATTAAAATGTGTCAGTGACTTACTTTTTAAAGTCATCAATATAAATCAGTCACTGACTTTTATTTTTTTAAATCATACTTATAAAAGTCATTTGTATACATAAGTCGTAGTAAACTTTTGTTCTTTAACACCTTCTTAACTGCGAAAACTGATAGTGACTTTTATACGTACGGATTTAAAAAATAAAAAAATTTATAAAAAGTAAAATATAAAAAGTAAGTCACTGACTGATTTTTATTGATGACTTTCATAAGTAAAAGTCTGCGATAACTCTTATCTAAGACATGTAATGTAAAAATCAAAAATAAGAGTTATTTGCAGATTATTTAGAAAAAAATGAAAAGTTATTGTTTTTTTGGATTTATAAAATAAAAATAAAAAATATTTTTTTTTTTAATTTCGTATAAAATCTACAAATAAACATTTATTTTTATATTTGATTCTCAGTAAAAAAAAGAAATCGATTGCTATGTATCACTTAGTTATAGAATATTTCCTTCATAGTAAATTTTCCAATGACAGTTTGCATCAATAACTGTTATGTTCTGTCGCTGATACACTGTGGAGATTTTGACACTGCCTTATTTTTCAAAATTGCCTTTAAAATTTTGTATAAGACAGCAGTTAGTTTTTATTTGACTTTCCCCCAAAGTCTTAGTTTTTGTTCGCAAAATTTTGGCATAAACTTTACATTACGTAACTTCCCAGAAAACCAAAAAATTTGAGAATAAAGAGGGAAACAAAAATAAGTTTTTTTTTTGCATGCCAAATAAAGCAAATTCAATTCACTCCCCAGTAGCTGTATTTTCTGTACGTACCTACTCGCGCACGGCACCAGCTTGTCGCTACATACCTATGTATGTATGTATGTATGCATGTGCTTCAATATATACATATTTGTCAAGCTGTACGTCGAGAAGGTTACCGTTGTGCGCGAAAAGGAGCAGCTGTTGCTTACGAATTCTATGAAGTATGTATACGGACTTTTATGGCTTCTGGAATGACGTGGTGGGGTTGTAGAATTGTTAACGCAGCAGCGTCGGGGTGCTACTTTAAAAGTTGGCTGCGTTGCTGCACTTAAGCGGATTAATGCAAATTGAGTTAACACTTTTGATTGGTCGTGTCGGGCGGGCAATCGCTTTATGATTTCTTGCCATTTTTGGCATTAAGCATAAAATAATTATTAATTAATTCACAACTGAATTTGAGTGTATAAAATCAAATGCGGGAAAATGTGTTTGGCGGTGGCTAAAAAAAGGTATGGCTGTGTTTGTGTGTGTGTGTGCGAGTAAGTACTTGTTTTAATTATAAATTCATGGCATATGCATGTCTAGAGTTTGCCGGTTTTCTTTGATTCTATTCGCGAAAGTTCTTTTAGTTAATATAATTTTTTTTTGGCAGCGGATTTCACGGCCAGGTTGTGTGGAAATTTTTTTCAAGCAAATAGTAATGAAAGATAAGAGATGATGTCGAACACGAAAACCGCATCTACGTGAAAGAGAACAAGACGCAGTATCTCAGTATAAAATCATAGGAATACTTTAGCAGAAGTTCTACACCCAACTACTGACTAAGATACCAGCAATTTCTATAGATATCAAATTTAGATATCACTTAAATGACAACAAAGCAAACGGCTAGTGATGTGCTGAGTCAATGCTTTTAAGTATTGATTGATATTCGGTACCGATTTCAAAAGTATCCAATACTCTCGATACTCGGTACCGAAACATTTAGGTTTCGATTAAAAGCGCACATAGGCCAAAAATATGGAGAAAATGGTTCAGGGCGACTCGCCTATCAAAACCCGATACTGATTCAAATGAAAGATGTATATTTGTATGTCAGTTCGAGGCCATAATGCAGAGAAACTCTTACTTTGAAGCATTTTTGTTCCAGCTGAATTGGACGATATCATTTTTGTAGGCCTGGGGGCAGATTCTGTAACCAGTTAGCGACAATTTTCGAATCGGTATCGGTTTTGTTGACATACGATATGAAATATTTTTACGTCAATAAGTGCGATATCGATCGGAAACTTGTCGCAAACTGGTAACAGAATCTCCCCTCTGAAAGGCTTCTTCATTCGACAAATCATTTTTCTTGAGCCTAGGATCGATTAGTAATGAAAGTTTCTTCTAAACTTGAAATGCATTTAATGGCGAAGGTTTAATGTAAAGAATCGGTATCGGGTACCGAAAAGGAAGTATTGGGTACCGACAATTCAGCACATCACTACAAACAGCTGTATTTGTCAAACAAATGACCCACTTGAACGGTCACTGTATCTTAAAACCACACACATAACGAAACTCTAAATGTAACGGCAGTAAACCTGTTCCATGTGTGGAAATTAATGAATAAACCCGTTAAATACAAAATTTATTTCAAGCACCGCACACACCAATTGACACACCGAACTGGTAGCAATGACCTACCTTTGATACTTCAGCATGGCGCGTGGCAGCAGAAAACTCCCATTCTCCGACACTTCCGTTGTACACTTCCCATGCACCGCCGCAATTTCTTCGCATGCGTTGGCAACTCCTCCTCCTCCTTCTCCATTTCCTCCTTGAATGCCAATCGCATCAGCGGCACCGGCACCACCACCACCACCACCACCACCACCACCACCAACACAACTCCTCCCCAATTCCGAAGACGGTGATGCGTTGCGCGAATGCACTAAAAGCGCACCAAAGCGTTGCATGTACGTGTAGGTCAGTTCGCCGGAATGCTGACGACGCAAGTAACCATTCATATCACTGCTATGGCCACTATGCTGACTACCGCGTTCACTGCTGCGACCGCTGCTGCTGTGCAAGCTGCCGTGGCTGCGATTGCTGTGCGACGAGGCGAATGACGCTGCACCGCCGCCGCGATAGATTGTTTTAAGCGTATTATGCTGGGGCTGGCTACCACTGCCGGCTGTGGACGATGTTGCCGATACTTTCGTAGTGACTAAATTTGTGCTGAGGAGCGCAGCGATCGGCCTGACCTGACTACCAACGACTTTTTGTACTGCCGCTTCTTCCACTAATTCTTCGCCATCATTATTGTAGGGCAGCGCTTGAATTGCATCGAAATTGTATGAATTGAAGTAGGCTTGCTCGCGCGTGCGTTTCATTTTGGCTGCCTCTGAGGCGTGGTCATCGAAGGCGGTGGCACTTTTTGCTTCGCTCAGCGGTGGCTTGTTGCAAATGGGCATTTTGTTGGCAGTGGTGGCGGTGGCGGTGGCGTTGACGGTGGTTTTGTAAGGCGTCTTGGCGTGGGGGCGTACCCTCAGCTGCTCCGTGGCACGTTTGCGCTGGCTGTGGCTATGGCTGCGGTGTATATGTGGCAGTGGGGCAGGTGGCTGCAGTTGGCTGGCAGTATGAACACAATTGTGGTGGATATTTTGGCAGTGTTTTTGTTGTTCACAGTATTATTGGCAGTGGATTTGCACTTCTGGTTTGTCTGCAAATGAAAGAGTAGTGCGAAAAAATTGCATTAATAAATATTTGTGCAATTTTGTTTTTTAATATATGGCGAGATTCCCACGAAAATTTTTGGAAAAATATTAAAATTAAGATCAATTTCATTATTTTGATTACGTTGATAACATTTTTAAACAATTGTTTAAGCAGATATTTTAAGCTTAAACTTTTCTATCATGTGAAACTAAATTTATTTAAATAAAACTCGATTTTAGAAAATATTTTCAAATAGGTCCTGCTCAAGAAAATCTTAATATTTTTCCGAAATATTCTGGTGGAAGCCTTAAATTATTATACATTTTATATTTCCAATGTAAAACCAGTACGGTTTGGTTTTGTATGGAGAGTAATGCACCCTAATGTATGTATATGGTTTAATTAGTCTCATGACGAGCGTGTTAACAGCGCGCTTTTATGAAACCCCGAAAAGCAGCAGGCGATGGCAAATACCGCTGCCGGCACAACGCTAATGAAAGTAAATAAAAGTTTCGTCTAATTTTCGAGTTTTGAATTCGACAACTTTTTACTTCATTTCGCTTTATTTCATTCATTTTTGCTAATCATTTCACTTGTATATTATTGCTTAATTTGGCTGGTATGCGCTCGAGATAGGGCGACTTGAACGTCAAACAAACCGCTGTTGTATAGCAAAGCGGCCTAGCGTGCGCGAATTTTATTCGATAGGATGGTCAAGTTAAGCGCGAAGGCTAGCGTGCATAGTGCAAATTCCCGTCCGGCATTAAACATCCGCCTTGTGCTGGCTGGGCATGGCTCAATTTCAGCGCGCTCGTCTGAACTGGTTTCACACTTAAATGGATTATAAGCACAAAATTTGCTTGCAGTTGTTGGCAGATATGTAAATAATATTAATATGCACCCGAACTACATACATACAAATATCCCAATATATAAATATGTATATATGTATAGTACATTAGACAGTATCAGAAAAAAAGTTCACCGTTCACTTTCGAATCGAAGGTATTTGTGCAATGCAATTTCGAAAAAGTGTGCATTTAGCCGAACGCCCTTTTATATTTTTCTTCATATCTTCGGCATTGTCTTCAAGTACCCCCCGTTCTAGTTTTTATGTACCAGATCTCAGATCTTATCACCCTAATGTAACACCCTAATGTCAGGAAATTAAAATTCACCAAAAATCATAAAACTTCAGAAAAGGAAGTATTTTTAACCGACTTCAAAACAAGGAGGAGATTATCAGTTCGTCTGAACTTTTTTTTTTGGTGGTATGGTCTAATGTGCATACATATAAACGTGTGAGGTGCGGGTGGTGCTGCACTCTGCTGTTTTTACAACGCTTTTATCAACTTACAATGTTGTGTGTTCAGACACCATTCATAGCAAAGGTATTTTTCTGTTAAATTAGCAAAGTATATGTGCTTCTTAGCTTTCGTCCCCAGCGTGTGTAAGTGCAACAAAACGGATATGGTTAGCTTCCCATAGCTGCTTGGATTTTGTAATTTATGCGTTCGCCTTTGCTATTTAGTGCGTTTTGTTTGGTTTGGTTGAGATTTTTGGTTTGCTTTAAATACAGCTTTTTTTTAGCGGCTACACAAGAAAAACAGCTTTGAGCTGCTTGTACTTGCGCGCTGGGGAGAAATGTTTGCTATGGAGCGGAATAAAAAAAACGCCTGTTAATTTTAAAACCTGTTGCCAATTTTATTAAATTTGTTTTCGAAGTCTCGATGTATCAAATTCAAAATTAGATTAATTAATAAAAGCATGACTTCGAGACAAGTCGAAAGATAGAACTTGTATTGATATTTTATAGATTTAACTGTAAACATGTGAAAAGTAAAAAGCTTCACAGGGGTAATTAATTGCTTTGTCAGATGATAAGATAAAACAAAGTAAGTGCGCCTGGGCCACACTGGAGAATTGAAACTTACGTTACATATCTAGTTTGTCTCATAATCAATATACACATGTACATACATATAAATATGTGCTTTTGCTTAAAGTTATATTTTTAGCCTTTTTTCTATCTAGATCTCTACCTCTACTCTGTTAAATCTAATTAAATTTACGTTATTCTGTTTTCTTTTATCTTTATTTTTATCTTTATACTCTATCGATAACAAAATTGATAGTAACATCCATCAACATATCGATTACAAAATCAATAAAAATATCGATAACAAAATCGAAAGAAATATCGATAACAAAATCGATAAGAAATTCAACAAAGATATTGATAAGTAAATCCCTTAAAAATCGATAACAAACTGATAAAAATATCGATAAAAAAATCGATTAAATATCGGTAAGAAAATGGATATCAAAATCGATTAAAATAACTATAACAACATTGATAAAAATATCGGTATCAAAATCGATAAAATATCGATAACAAAATCGATAAAATATCGATAAGAAAATCGATAAAAATATGGATTATTATATCGATTAGTTCCGAAAATATCGATAACAAAATCGATAAAAACATGGATTATTATATGGACTACTTCCAAAAATATCGATAACTAACTCGATAAAAATATCGATAGCAAGACCGATACAAATATCGATTATCTCTAAACTTTACTTTTTACTTTTTCTTTTTTACTTTCATTGTATTGGTCTTTCTCTAAGTGTTATCCTTTATCCTTTTATTAGCAAATTTTTGTTAAATTAATACCATTTGCATATACTGAAGAAGCACTTGTTTCAGCCCCAACCATTCCCGTGTGCAATTCCCGTTGAATTTTTTCAATTTACTCCGAACCAAGCAACCGCCGCTAGAGAAGTTTCACTTCAAAGTGACTGCGAGACCTCCTTTTATGTTGCCTAAGAAATTCATTGTAGAACACTGCTTAATAAGTTTGTACAACATTTTAACCCTCTGACTACCTGTTTTAATAAACTTTCGCCATATATCATACACTTGGATCCAAGCGTTCCAGCCCTAAAAGTATTCAACGCGGAACTCGCTGGTGTCTACTATCACCTCTTCTACGATCTATCCATTAATTTACCAATAAATTCATTAAACAAAGGTAAGTTATAAATCTAAATACATGTCGATTTGTTGCAAAAAAAAAATCCCATACATTTGAGGATTACTTACTAGTGCCATTATTTCAAATATTATTTGTCTTCGATTATGGCTGTCAAAGTCGTTGACATTTTGCATGTAATTATCATTTTAATTGAACTTTCTATTACTAACATAACAATAATTGTCACACAGCATATACACACATACACACGTGCATAGCTTGAAGCTAATTAGAAACAAATTGAGTCGAAGGAAATGATAAAAAAACAAAAACAAAGCGAGCGCGCTGAAACTGGTTGTAATTATAAAAGTGAACACCGAAAGCGGATACCATTGAGTCCGGTTCAAGAATGAATTGTATCTGTTTATAAGCTGAATGCTACTGCCTTTGAATCAAATAAAAATGGGTTTGCTATAATAAAACCGGCAAGCAATTTGTTACGCAATAATTTCAACAATACATCCTGGGAAAGTTTTCTGCAATTATACATACATAGATAAGTATTTCTATGAGCATACATATGTATGTATATTTAAACCAAATAATATATTGGCGGATTTAGAAAAGTCACTTAACGATGCCATGAAGTCGAATTAAATCTTCGAAAAAGAAGGTTCTTAAAAAAAAATTCAAGCACATTCTTCGAAGCGATTTCTATGTAAAAATTTTCTTATGAAGGAAGTGTTGAAAGCACTTGAAAAAATCGTTCTGTACCTATTCGGTATTTGCTCTGTGGAAACGAGGAAGTGAAGTGCTCTCGAGTCAATAAGATACGACATGGACTTGAATGGGACGTAGACAAGATTTTAAGACCTAACCATTATACTAACGGGGTACTGGTGTGCATTAGTCATATGGCTAAGCTCGAAGCCCTGAATATAGATTTCTGTAGAAGCTGTAGTGTTGCGAAATATAGAATCCATAATGTTATCTAATATGACAAGGCATTAACAGTCTACAATAAATCATCTTACCACCCTGTCGGAAAACTCAACCAACTCCACAATGAGAGCCAGTTAACTGATAAAAAAGGGGTACAAAAGGATGAATTTTTTGGGGTCCACATTCAAAGACCTTTAGATGAAAATTAGGAAACTTGTAAGCCTTTGAACAACTTATTAGCCATTGAGTCGGAATGCGATGCTTTGGTTGTCTTCGAGTAGAACTATGCCATGTGAAAAGTAGACAATGCATCATAAATATGAAAATTTAGAATACAAATGGTACAGTTCCGAAAAAAAAATAAAAATAAAAAAATGCCAACTTAAATGCCAAAATGCTAACAAATATTTGTGCAATGCATTGAGTGCTTTTTGTGGCATTTTAAAATAAGAAGCAACGGTACATGAACCACACCTGACATAAAAAAAAAAAACTCATTTAAATCTCAACACTTGGAATGATGGGTCAACAACAAATACGGATGATTACATGAACCAAGTTTCCAATTTGTACTTAATTGCAGTTGCAGTTGCAGTTCAAATGTCAAAAAGCACCAAACCTGGAATGCAAAGCAATGATTAATGATTGGCAGTTTAAGGTAAAGTCAACAAAAATTATAAAACAAAAAAAAATGTCAATGCATGCAATACATTTAAGCAAAAATAAATAAATTTAGGAATTGGATGGCTACATCATTAAGAAAATAAGATTTACAGCGGCGATTTAGTACAGGAAAAAATAAATTAACAAAAAATGTCATACGTTGTCGCACAGAAAATAAAATGGAAAAAAATTTAAAACAAAATCTAAATCGAAATGCTAGAAGGCGTGTGCAGCAAGTCTTGACTAAACAAAGAAGCTAAGCTAAGCAAAAGAAAACAAAGTTAGATGCATACTATTGCCGCAACACCAAGCCAAGGCAACAACAACAAAAAAAATAATGGTAATAGCAAAGCCATGTCGAGGTTGCACACCCCACTGTTTGTTGTTGCTTTTTTTGTTTGTACTATACATATAT